ATTCACTCTTCATCTTCTCATTCACTCTCATATCTCATATCTCTCATCTCTCCCAGCTCTGTCCCACCGCTCTCGCCTTCCCACCCCCACAACGGTCTCTCTCTCTCTCTCTATTTGTGTATCTCGTTCTCTCTGTAGCTCTATTATGAATCTGTTTTGTTTTGTTTTTGGTAAAGCTAAGTGGAGGAGGCAAGGTTCATGGTGTGTCTACTTCTCTGTCTCTCTGTTGAATTTAATTCTTTTTTGTTCTTGGTAAAGGTGGTCGTGAGCGGAGATGCTGGTCTGTGGCCGTGAGCAGAGTTTCACAGCAGAGATGCTGGTCTGTGGCCGTGAGCAGAGTCGCTGGGAGTGGACCTGTGACGAATCAGAGACTCCACTGGTGAGGATCAGAAGAATAAGAATCGGTGTTTCTTTTGTTCTTAGTAGATACATGTGGTGAAGGAAGATGCAGAAGATTCAGGTGGTGAAGGAAGATGAAGGCGGCTGCGTTAGAAAGATAGGGACTGAATTAGTGTAAACTGAATTAGTGGTTTGACTTTATTTTTAGTTTCTGGTTTAGTATTGTAAACACGAATATATTTGTAAACCAGTTTTAATTATAAAAATTTATTTTATTTTGAAATTATAAGAAAATTTTGATTTAATTTCCAATTATTTTTTAATATAATTATTTTTGGTTTATTATATAAAGACCCAATCATAACACGAAAGTTGTGCTATAGTTAATTTAAATAATTGCATCCAAATATTGCTATCGTATCTGCATATTTCATAGCATTTATAAAATGCTATCGTAGGGAGGGTAGGGTACCTACGATTGCTGCCGATGACATAGCATTTATGAATTCGCTATGAAACCCCTACTATAACATATTTTCCGTGCTAAGAATGTACATATTTCTTGTAGTGCTTTATGTTTATTGTACTCAACCTAGAAGACCAAAGCTTTATCTTACGTTCTATTTTTATGCTTACTCAAGTGTTCTTAAATATGTTAATTGAGTACCTAATAGCTTATAGTCACTCTTTTTTCTTTTGTTTTCTCATAAACACTCTACTCACCTCTCGGTCATCCAACCTCCAACATTAAATATTACTATTAGTGGACATTCATTCGTGCTAAAGTGAAGAAGGTGACTTAGTTCGTCTTGTTTCAAGATAATTTATTTCCTTTCTTCTACCACAGTTTAGGCCATATAAGAGAGACGAACTTATAAAATTTTTATAACAACCAAAATCTAAAAACCAATATATCAAACTAAAAGCAGAAAAAACAATAAAAATATAAGTTATAATATCATATTAAATACTTGATTATCATCTTTTTACCTTATTTGCAAAAGAATGTAAAAGCAATCTTCACTCATGGAGTTGATGTTTATGGGCTTCAAGGGATTGAAGGATGGCCAGTAGAACAAGTAGAAAGAGGAAGTGATGCTCCTGCAGGATACCCTCGAAAAGTCAAAATCAGTACCTAAGATTAAACGTTGCAAGCAATTGATAAGGTGTATGAATAATAAGACCTTGTGGTCCATGAGCTTTTTAAGCAATTGAACAATAGTGTAACAACCCTGTCCCCCGGTGTCCGACCGGAGTTTAGCGAAAGGGTGTTACGGACACGTGTCTACTCAATTAGACAACCCTACGTGTCCCTTACTGGTCCCAAAAGTCGGCGGACACAATCTTTTAATAAAATTCGATCCACCCGTATCCACATACTTCTACATACAGTCCTGCGCATAGGGGAAATGGAAATAGAGGGATGAGCAATTGAGGTTACTCAGTGAAGTGATTCTAGTCCAGCCTGTCCGCATGGCACTCTACACTACCCCATGCGGGAACCAGAACCGATTAGCCACTACAACCAATATGCAACATACAAGCCATACAACCACATTCCATCACAGTATTCTAGCACCCTAACGTTTATACACCGCAAGGACTCAGCCGATGCTTCACATGAAATCATTCACGTAATCAACCTATAAACTAGACTCACCAATCAACCTAGACTTAAGGACCTATGGCCGTTTACGGATGTCCTGACATGTTCTGACTTAACCTAAAAGGGGTGCCCTCTCTAGGGAATCCGTTCCCCCCCTCAGCTTCCTAAATGATTATCCGAGTTGCAGCTCGTTGGCTCCCAGCTCTGTCTGCCACCTCGGTCGTAATAGCCATAATTATACCACGACTCGGTATTGACTCGATCTTAAGGCGTCTATCCCTACCGTTACCCCGCCTCGGCAGTCATCGTCCTTTCACGGCCTTTCACATCTCGCCCACGGGTACCTCGTGCTAGGCTACTGTCCCATGGGCCCCTGTGGGTACCTCGTGTTAGTCTGCTGTCCCGCAGGTCAACACATCCTAGACTCTAGACGCCCACCCGTTCTCGGTGGTCCAAACATGACT